AAATGCAGAGGCTATGAATTATAGAAATAATTCATATGTTACATTTTATATTTTTATTTTGGGGTAATCATTTTGCAGGACATCTTGTCTAGTCTCTATTTGTTTACTAAGAACTGGAAGCTTGTATCTAATGGACCCTGCAAATTTACTATAATAGGTTGACAGTATTTTATAAATAATTTAAATAATAATTTGGAAAATAAGCCCAGTATTAAAATGATAAGCACAATTCTTGGGGGTTTTGTGTTCAATATGGCTCACTGAAATAGTCATTTTAACTGTTTCATTTTTTCACATAGAAAATGTATGTTTTAGGCCGGGCGTGGTGGCTCAAGCCTGTAATCCCAGCACTTTGGGAGGCCGAGGCGGGTGGATCACGAGGTCAAGAGATCGAGACCATCCTGGTCAACATGGTGAAACTCCGTCTCTACTAAAAATACAAAAAATTAGCTGGGCATGGTGGTACGTGCCTGTAATCCCAGCTACTCAGGAGGCTGAGGCAGGAGAATTGCCTGAACCCGGGAGGCGGAGGTTGCGGTGAGCCGAGATCGGGCCATTGCACTCCAGCCTGGGTAACAAGAGCGAAACTCCGTCTCAAAAAAAAAAAAAAAAAAAAAGAAAATGTATGTTTTTCTGAACAGCTGCAAAGCCTTAAACATTGCTTGAGGAACTTCTACTTTTTAAATTAGATTATAATCATCAATGACCACAGACACACTATTAACATCACTCAAATTTACTAAAAAGTATAGCCCAGTATACAAGAGGGCAAAACATTTTTTAAGTCAAAAGGTAAATTTGGTGGTTATGGAAGGAGGGAAAGTCTGTGAGGAACGAGAATTTGAAGTTAGACACATCTGGATTGAATAGATTTGCCACTTTATATATCTATGCACCCTTGGACAAGCCACATAATTCCTCAAAGTTTCCATTGACTCACATTTTTTATATCACAGATTTACTATAAGATAAAGTAACATATGTAAAGCACGCTATACAATGTTGACACACAGCAATTCTCTAGATATGTTAGGTTGCTTTCTGATATATGTTCCACTACACAAAAGCAGAATAAGCCAAGTTTTAAGTAAATGAAAACTCTAATTTCTGAAATACAATGAATGATATAATTTGTGTATCAGAGAATCAAGTTATGAGTTTGACATCAATCCCAGGTTACATTAATCATAATGTTACTTATTAATCATAACAAGCATTACATTACTTGTTAATTATAACAAGAGTAACATTTTTGTTATTATTAGGATGGCTTTGGCAAATAAGTGCTTTCCTTAGCTACCTCTTTCTTCTTTCTCCTTCCTTCCTTCTGTCCTTCCTTCCTTCCTTCCTTCCTTCTTCCTTCCTTCCTTCCTCCCTTCCTCACTCTCTCTCATTCTCTCTTTTTTTCTTTCTTCCTTTCTTTCTTTCTTCTCTTTCTTTTCTTTCTGTCTTTCTGTCTTAAAACTGAGGTGGGTTTTACATCCACTGAAAAGAAATTTGTCATGCTACATCCCAGTCAATCACTCTACTCATGAGGTGCCTTTTCTTCCTATATCTAATACCATGGGTTAGTTTGGCCTTTTCTAGAACTTTATATAAATGTAATCATATAGTATGTATTCTTTTGTGTCTATATTTTCACTCAGCACAAAATAAGATTCATCCATATTGATTTACATATCACTAGTTTATTTTTATTGGAGAGTGGTACTCAATTGTATAAATACATCTGAGTGTGTTTATCCATTCCCTTCCATTTTTGCACTTATTTTTTATTAGTGTTTCAGTTTAGAAATTACTGTGGATCACTGTTGAGTAGATAAAAATTTTCAAGGAATGTTAAGATAATTTGTAGTTCAGACTATCCCCTAAGATAAATGATATGTATTATTTCTCAAACTTTTTAAAATTTACAAAGCAATGGTCAGAAAACTACGGGCTGTGGTCAAATCTGGCACTTCACATGTTTTTGTAAATAAAATTTCATAGAAACACAACCATGTCTAATCACCTATAAATAATTTAAGCCTGCTTTCATGTTACCATGGAAGAGTTGAGTAGTTATGACAAAAAATATATGACTCTAAAAAATGTCTATTTGGCTCTTTACAGAAAGTTTCCCAACCCCTGTTCTAGAATAATTATCAGACTGATTAATACTATATGACCTCTAGAGCCCATCAAAATATCTTCAGTGAGTTTGTTACAGCTAGTTAGACAGGTGTGAGTGGAAAGGGAGAGGGCTCTCCTCCCACCCCCACCCACTAGAAATGTCAGGATATCATCAGGTGATAGTTCAGCAGTTATCACATTTCTTCTCTAAAAATGGTAATTTGGCAGCCAGTGCCAAGGAGGGACAATCTCCTGATGGTCCACAGCTGTCACACTAAAGTGTTATTTGAAAGCAGGCTCCAGAAAGAGGCAACTCCCCAAACAGATAAAAACATTTGAGATTGGAAATTGGCTTGCAATAAAATCTCAGGTATTGGGCAAGTGAGTGTGGGTAAGTGCATTAAGAGACAAAATGGTGGATTATGACCTTCTGCAGGTATTCCACTGGTAAAGGGAAGAAAGCCTCAGATGGGCATGCATTCAACTTCCTAAACACACTGTAACTGGTACCTGTAGGGATTCTCGGCTGGTAACTCGAATACCTTCTACCCCTAACAACTTAAGACATAATAGTAGGCAATGGGATGATATGGCTCTATTTTTTATTTAAGAAGAAACACATCACTTTAGAGCTTTGGAAGTTATTGCACAGTACAATGCACCTCAAAATGTTTAAAACAGAAAAAAATGGATCTAGAATTTATCAAAAGGATACATTTGTTTTGAAGCCATGGTAACATTTTCTTTTACCAAACCTTGAGAATATCTAATACACAGTATTTTCTTTTATGCATTGTTAGCCAAGAATAGTCAAATATAAATACTTTATGTTAAGCTTTTGTTACAATTATTTTTTTTTCATAATTTTAAACTATTACTTTTATATTTCCATGTGTTGTTTGTTTCTCTTCCCGTGAACCAAATCAAATGCATTTGAAACAAGGAAGGCAGAGGTAAATAGGTTAATATATGCATAAAATAGAAATGTTAAAATACAGCAGCTGGAACCACCCAACATGTTCACCTTGCCTGCTGCCTAGACAGAACCGATTTATCAACACAGGGAACTGCAATGGAGAAGGTAATTCACACAGAGCCAGCTGTATGGGAGACCAGAATTTTATTACTCAAATCAGTCTCCTAGAAAACTTAGGGATTAGAGTTTTTAAGGATAATTTGGTGGGTATGGGCCTGGGAAGTGGGGAGTGCTGATTAGTCAGATTGGAGATGAAATTATAGGGGTTCAAAGTGAGTTCTTGCTGACTTCTCTTACTGGGTAGGATTGCAGAACTGGTTGAGCCAGATTACCAGTCTGGGTGGTGTCATCTGTTCCTTTGGAACTCAGGATCTGCAAAACATCTCAAGCACTGATCTTAGGTTTTGCAACAGTGATATTATTCCCAGGAGCAACTTGGGGAGGTTCAGACTTGCAGCCAGAGGCTTCATGGCTCCTAAAACATAATTTTTATCTTGCAGCTAATTTGTTAGTCATACAAAAGCCAAGAAGGGGGTTTTTACAGGAAAGAGCTATTATCAATTTTGTTTCAGAGTTTACATTATAAACTAAATTCCTTCCCAAGGCTAGTTTGGCCTACGCCCAGGAATAAACAAGGAAAGCTTAGAAGTTAGAAGATGAAGTCAGTTAGGTCTCATCTTTTTCACTGTCCTGATTTCTTCAGTTATCATATTTGCAAAGACGGTTTCAATCACATCATGCAAAACTCAGAAAATTATGAATTTCACGCACACAAATAACCTTAATTCATCTCAATATGCTTGCCAAGATCGAAGTCCACAAAAATTTGACTGAGTATAAATTTGCGTTGGCTTTTCCTATATTCACCAATATTATCTCCTTTCCTTCTAGTTGTTTTTGGTTTTTTATATCATTAAATTAACACAATAAAAGACTAAATGTAAACAAATACTAAAAATAGAGTATTATGAAGACCAAAGAAAAGATTAAATGGGACGATGTTAATGCTTATAACTGTTCTTAAAGTTTTATTTCTTACTGCTCTGTAAATGTTACCTAGGTATAATTTAGTAATTGTGCACACATATCCATGGCCCTTTAAAATGCAATCATAACCACATTTGTAAATACTTTATATTAATAGTCAATTTATAGTCATAATTGAAAGCACGAAGAACAAGTTTTTTACTTAATTACTATGTGACAGACTGTATTTTGTACTTTCATGTACATATTTGATATTGTAGTGGTTTTTGACCAATATGCTGCATTAAAATACAAATAAAACTTTATTTCAGATGTTACTTATTATATAGTGTCTGCAACTGCTAAAAGTTACTTGGCCAAAAAATAAATATAGAGAGACTGGATGAAACCTCCCTGAGGACAAACATTAAAAGATTGCTATTCTCAAAGATTCAAATAAGAGACACCTATATCTTACAAAGTGGTGTAAAATATTATGGTGTTGAGTGGTATGAGGGTAATGTATGCAGCAGCAATAAAGAGATTTAGATATATTTATCTTTTTGCACTGTATCTGACAGTAGCATCAAGCAATATCACTTTTTTTACAGTATAACCTGAGGCTACTACTTTTTAAGATTCTACAAAATAAATAATTCTCTCTCTCTCTCTCTGTCATTATACCGTAGTATTCTTGGGGGAGAAGAGAGTTACTTAAAGACATCTTCTTTTTTTTGGGGGGGATAGTCTGCTTTTATTGTATTGAAACTGTTCAAGCTAATTTTGAGTTAAAGATACTGCTATTCTCAATGTGCCAGAGCCTCCACACACAATATTGGGGATGGTGTATTTCATTTTCTTTCAGCTTTCTCCAAGTGACTTTCCTTAACCCCTCCTTTCAACAAGATTCTCAGAGAGGAAGCCATTCACAATGTTACTGGGCATAGGTATCTTGAGGGATGGCTGGGTGCCTTCTATGAGACTTAACATATTTCCTGAACATGGTGCCTCACCATGGCAACAGCCATGTCACACGACACATTGGTGACACATGTAAGGTGCTGCCACAACTCATCCCAGGTTGAATGTCTGTGATTCATTGTTTCCACTGACACAGTGACTACTGTAACTTGCAGTTGGAAGGCTCTCTGGTTTTCAGTGCCATTAATGCATACTGACTCCCATGGCGCATGGAGGGCTCAGGGAAGAGAAGCATAAATAAATAAGTGCAGGATGTAAACATTGCCTTCATTAGCTTTGCAGAGAAATACTTGTTCATCAGTCAACCTCCTTGCCACTCTCATTCTTCTTTTTTTAAGCATATTTTGTTGGTTAACACCTTGGAAGCTTGAAAATGATTTTTATTTTTAATCATAGTTGTACCCATTTCTTCTTGGCAAACTTCACAAGAGAGAGTTCATGGTGGCCCCTTTTTAGTATTTATTTATATTCTTCACACGTAGCAGATTTATTGATGAAGGCATGATTCTGGGAATATTTTTTTCTCATTGTGAAATATAATGAATGCTTTACATAAATCAAATGATGGAATTAATGCATCCATTGCTAATGTAGGGGGCTGAAGGAGGTATTCTATCAGAGGGCTTTTCCAGAGGTCCAAGATGGGTGGTATTTTTTTTTCTTTTTTTATATTGCATTTTAGGTTTTGGGGTACATTTGAAGAACATGCAAGATAGTTGCATAGGTACACACATGGCAGTGTGATTTGCTGCCTTCCTCCCCTTCACCTACATCTGGCATTTCTCCCCATGCTATCTCTCCTCAACTCCCCACCCCCCACCGTTCCTCCCCTATTTCCCCCCAACTGACCCCAGTGTGTAGTGCTCCCCTCCCTGTGTCCATGCGTTCTCATTGTTCAACACCTGCCTATGAGTGAGAACATGCGGTGTTTGATTTTCTGCTCTTGTGTCAGTTTGCTGAGAATGATGGCCTCCAGGTTCATCCATGTCCCTACAAAGGACATGAACTCATTGTTTTTGATGGTTGCATAATATTCCATGGTGTATATGTGCCACATTTTCCCTGTCCAGTCTATCATCGATGGGCATTTGGGTTGGTTCCAGATCTTTGCTATTGTAAACAGTGCTGCAATGAACATTCGTGTGCATGTGTCCTTATAGTAGAATGATTTATAATCCTTTGGATATATACCCAGTAATGGGATTGCTGGGTCAAATGGAATTTCTATTTCTATGTCCTTGAGAAATCGCCACACTGTCTTCCACAATGGTTGAAATAATTTACATTCCCACCAACAGTGTAAAAGTGTTCCTATTTCTCCGCATCCTCTCCAGCATCTGTTGTCTCTAGATTTTTTAATGATTGCCATTCGAACTGGCGTGAGATGGCATCTCAATGTGGTTTTGATTTGCATTTCTCTAATGACCAGTGATGATGAGCATTTTTTCATATGTTTGTTGGCCTCATGTATGTCTTTTTTTGTAAAGAAGACATCTTAACTTCTAACCTTTTGCGATATTTCTTTTTCTCAACAGACTATATCCCACAACATAATAGCTAGAAATAATCTAGTCTAAAATATTTATCAGAGCAAAGAACTAAATTAATTCTAATACAGAAAGAGACAAAAGAAAAAATTATTTAAAGTGTAATTTTTTTCAATAAAAATTGGGGAACCTCAAATTTACCTCAGTGTTTCCTTTGATGCAAATATCATGTTGAAGACTAATATTATTTCACCTATGACATAAAAATGTTTTAACCACGTTTAAAACCACAGAGGACTTCAAATTAGACTTCATAATTTCACATTCAAATTGAGTTTCATTTTGTAGTTCGTATTTTTACGAATTTGGAGGAAAATTAAGTTAAAATATGTAATAATTGAACATCAATTATATGTTTGACTTTATGCATGGGAATTGAGAGGAAGGGAGAAGATGTATCTTATTTAGCTTTTTGTTTATAATATCTAGCACAGTTCCTTATATATAGTAGTAATCAATATATTTTTGCTGAAAGATAAATGAAAGAATGAATGATCATTGTATTAGTTATCTATTATTGTGTAACTAACAATCCAAAAACTTAATGTCAGAAAACATATGTTTATTATCTCATATTTTCTGTGGATGAGGAATACTGAAATGGCTTATCTGAGTCCTCTGGTTCAGTGTCTCTCACAACCTTGAAATCAAGTTGTTGGTATAGGATGAAGGTCTCCTCCAAAGGCTCAGCTGGAAAAGGATCCACTTGCAAATTTATATAATTGTCAGAAAAATTGAGTTTCTTAGGGCCTGCTGAGCTGAGGGCATGGATTCCTAGCGGGCCTTAGCTGGAATCACCATCATTTCTTTGCTACATGACTCTCTGTGACTTGGCAGCCTGATTTATCAAAGTGTGAGATCTGGGAAGGCAATACAGAGAGTTTGCTAGCAAGACAGAAAGTTACAATCTTGTAAGCTAACTACAGAAGTGACATCCCTTCACCATAGCCATATTGTATTGTTAAAAGCATGCCAGTAGCTCCAGTCCACATTAAGGGAAAGGATTTCAACAGGCTGTGAATAACAGTAGTTAGAAATCACTGGGGACCATCTGAAATGGTTCCCAATAACAAATATATATTAAAATAAGAAGAAAATTCTTACTATGTAGAATTCCTTACAATTCAAAATAGTCAAAAATTTAAAAATAGAAACTAACAAATATTTATTATAAAGTACAATTATGTAGTAAATGAGGACTAAGCTCTGATTTTTTTTTTTTTTTTTGAGACGGAATTTCACTCTTGTTGCCCAGGCTGGAGTGCAGGGGCACATTCTCAGCTCACCACAACCTCCACCTCCCGGGTTCAAGCTATTCTCCTGCCTCAGCCTCCCGAGTAGCTGGGATTACAGGCGCGTGCCACCATGTCTGGCTAATTTTTTATACTTTTAGTAGAAATGGGGTTTCACCATGTTAGCCAGGCTGGTCTATAACTCCTGACCTCAGGTGATCCGCCCCCCTTGGATCCCCAAAGTGCTGGGATTACAGGTGTAAGCCACCCTGACTGGCCTTGATTTTTTTTTTTTTAATCTTGCCCAAATTCCTACCTAAGGGGTCCAGGGAATCATGTCTTATAAACCATAAATTTTTATCAGATGGGTCTTATTTTGCCCTGTATATTTTGACTTATTTTCCAGTCTGACTCAGGCATAACAAGGAAGAAAATCAAAATATTTTACCACAAAACATGTTTCTCTGCCTTATCTTGAAACAGCCCTGCAAATCCATCCTTTATGAAAAAGATTCACATTCTATAGAGAATCCCTTTTTCCTTTTGTTTTCCTTTTTTCCTTTCTAGATCCAGTAGATAATCAACTAAGAGCCAGGCACTCTTTAAGGTCCAATAAGAAACATTTTACAATCTGCTCTCTCTGAAGTCTGCTATCTGAGAGACTCCCCTGCACAATAAAACTTGGTCTCCACAATATTTTATCTTAACTTGAACATTTCCTTTCTGTTGATCTCAGGTCTTCAGATAAACTCAATTTTCAACTAGAAAATGTTAAAATTTACTTATGCCCTGGAAGCTCCTGCTTTGAGTTGTCCCACATTTCTGAACCAAACCAATACATTTCTTAAAAGTATTTGATTGATTTATCGTGCCTCCTTAAAATATCTAAAACCAAGCTGTGCCCCAACCACCTTGGGCACATGTTCTCAGGACCTTCTGAGGGCTGTGTCATGAGTCATGCTCACTCATATTTGGCTCAGAATAAATCTCTTCTAATATTTTAGAGTTTGACTCTTTTCATCAACATAAGTGATCTATAAAAGAAATGTATTAAAATTAAGAGAATCATTTATAAAGAGATTTAAATTTTGATTTTAATTAAGCTTAAACAATATTGAAATACATGATATTTAACTTAATTAGAAAAAATTATTTGTATGAAGGCAAAAAAGGCTGCTCAGATTCTATTCCTTCAGTTCAGAACCAGCACCCATCCTTCTCTAAGAAATCCTAATAGAAACCATATCCCCTATTAGAAATAGTTGATTCTAATTTCTGCTACAGAACTCTGAAAAGTAGCTTAGCTCATAATGATTATTCAGCCAACCTAATTAGTGTAAAATGCAAGAGGTTGACACATATACTCTTTGTTCTCTACAAATTAAAAACAAATATCTAATGTCATTAATTGCAGGTTTTCATCCTGTTGACAAAGTTAGCAGTTGCTGTGCCTACTAATCTGCATTATTTTTGTAGCAAAAGCAAAGTTTCTTAAAAATTGTGAATTTAACTTCTTAAAAATTGTGAATGGAGCTGGGCGTGGTGGCTCACTCCTGTAATCCCAGCACATTGGGAGCCTAAGGTGGGTGGATCACAAGGTCAGGAGTTCAAGACCGGCCTGGCTAAAATGGTGAAACCCCTCTCTACTAAAAACAAACAAACAAAAAAATTAGCCAGGTGTTTTGGTGAGTGCCTATAATCCCAGATACTCAGGAGGCTGAGGCAGGAGAACTGCTTGAATCTGAGAGGCAGAGGTTGCAGTGAGCCAAAATGACGCCAATGTACTCCAGCCTGGGTGACAGAGTAAAACTCCGTCTCAAAAAAAAAAAAAAAAATTGTGAAACGTGAATAAATAATTTGGAACGACAACAAGGGGAAACCAAATTCATGTATTTTTTTTTTAACTTAAAATTCATTGAATTAAGTGGTCAATGCCAAATAGTAATTTAAATTGAATAAGATAACACTAGAAATTATAAAAACATAAGGAAATGATACAGGATATTTTTGGTGCCGCTTTGACAGCTGGAGACCTCCTTGGCCTGTGATGCTTCTGCTTAGGCCTTGCGGAGCTCCAGTCTCACCGAAGGAGATACTCTGCCTACTCAGCCAGGCGGGCTTTGCTTTGCTTGCACTCCTGCCTGAATCTTGCACTTGCCATGGGATCCGCGCTCAACCTGTGCTGGGCGAGGGTTGCCACTACCTGCTTCTGTCTTGGGCACCAGTATCTGGACAAGGGGAACATGGTGGTGCCTGAAAAACTTGGAGATGCCAGCAACCTTGGAGCCACAAAGTGGGTGTTATTCCTGCTGTCTGTAGCTCGGTGGATGGGGGTGTGTTAAGGGCTCATTCAGCCCTGTTGCCCCACTAGGCCTACAGCTCCTGGGTGGCATGCTGCTGCTTCCCACTGTGTGGGGTGGTGACCCTGCACCAGAGGAGGGTGAAGGGCTACAGTGTTATAGCCTTTTTGTACCCATGTTTGGCAGGTCCCAAGTTCTTGTCCTGCATCCAAAAAGAATGGGGTTACGCTGACAACCAGAGGGTGAGTGGAGCAGAGCGTTTCATTGTGTGACAGAACAGTTTTCAGTGGAGAGGTGAACCGAAGGGGGCAGCCCTCTACCTGAAGCTAGGTAGCTCCCCCATCAAGTGTGGCTGAGTGTGGGGCTTTTATAGGCCCAGAACTGGGGTGGTATGTGCCATAAGTAGCACTAGAAAAGGCAATATTCAATTGTTTAAATTGAATTTAAACAAATATTCAGAAAGAACAAGTAAGGAAAGAGCGACTAAACAGGAATAGAAATTTTCACTCTGGGTCACAGGCTTCATCTGGTACCAACAACCCAGTTTTCAGGCATCAAGCTGTTTCTGGTTTGAAGGTGGAGTTTCACCCAGGAACCCAATCCTGTCTGCCTAAGATTTGTCTGCCGCCTGCCTCTATCATAAAGATGTGTTCTGGGTTTTCCTAAGATAGTGGTGGCTGCCTAAATCTTAGTCTCTGCAAATCCTATGAAAAGTCATCCAGATCAATAAAGATAACACATATAACCGAAAATAACCCATACCTTCATCATAACAAAAAGGTAGAGAATACTACGTATTTTACATTATCTGGAAGTACATAAACAAACAACAAATTCCAGCAGAGCTCATTTTAGAGCTCTTACTATAAGCCTGATGAAGCAGGAGGAGGTTGAAGGGAAGGTAGACAGTTTTAGGTCTGAAGAGACTGAAAAAAAAGGAGAAGAGAGTAGAGAGCCTAAGAGAATAATACAAAAAATTAAAACAAGTTGAAAATATGACTAAAGCAGCACAGAAACATTTTCCCAATTTCCCTCACCTATGAGATAGATAAAAATTCAAAGTTTGATCATTTTCCTTTCTGTGAGGCTATGAAACATTAAGTAGTATCCTATGTTGCTAGTGGCAGTGTAAAATGGTGCTTTTATTTTTTTGAGACGCAGTCTCACTCTGTCTCCCAGGCTGGAATGCAGTGGCATGATTTTGGCTCACTGCAACCTCTGCCTCTCTGATTCAACTGATTCTCCTGCCTCAGCCTCCAGAATAGCTGGGATTAAGGCACCCGCCACCACACCCGACTAATTTTTGTATTTTTAGTAGAGATGGGGCTTCACCATGTTCATCAGACTGGTCTCAATCTCCTGACCTCAGGCGATCCACCTGCCCTGGCCTCCCAAAAATGGTGTGGTACATTTTATGTAAGGTATTCTGGCAATATTTACCAAAACTGCCAACTGATCCAGCAGTCATACTTCTGAAAACATACCCCATAAATACACCTGCATGTGCACAAATTGATAAGTTTTTAGCTGGATCAGTGATCTACATGGAGTGAGGAGGACTTATCTTGCCTTCCTTCATGACATATTTGGCAATGACTGGTGACATTTTGGTTGTCATAATCAGGGGGAGAGGGTGTTACTGGCATGTACTGGGTAGCTGCCAAGGATGCTTCTGTATATCCTACAATGCACAGTACAGATCACCACAGCAAAAAATTATATGGTCCCATTTATCAACAGTTCTGAATGTGAGAAACCTTGATACAGATCAATTATTTTATTTATATAATAAACTATGTTTCTACAATTCATATCTTCTGTTTTCCTTTTCAATTTTAGGAACATCTTTGCAGTTCTAGTCAGCATTTATAGTTTAGGTTTGTTTTTCTTTGATTTCTATGTGATGACAGTGAATTTAGATGTGTACAAATATCTAGTGAGTTAAATATTTGAATTTTTACAACATCTCAAGGAAAAAAACACGTCCAACTGCCAAAGCAGAAGCAATTGCAACCATACTTTTGCTGTCCCTTACTTAGCTTTTCATAACCCTGCCCTGAAAATCTAATTTAGAGCTTTGAAAGCAGCAAAATGTAATTATATTTTTATTAGATACACAAAATATAATTATATTATAGTTTTCTTCTGTAAATATTCTAAAATTTGCTTTTAGAGGGTTCTTTAACACAAATGCTGCCTAAAGTGACAACTGCTTGAAGCAAAGAGGTTATGAACCACCACTGGAAAACTGTGAGAGCTGCAAGACTTATGCATGTGATCATTGTGTGTGGAGCTCAACATTTTTTCAAATGTTTAGTAAAAACAGCCAATCAACACATAAAACATCAGAAAAGGGCCAGTCGTGGTGGCTCACACCTGTAATCCCAGCACTTTGAGAGGCAGAGGCAGGTGGATCACCTGAGGTTAGGAGTTTGAGACCAGCCTGACCAACATGGTGAAACCTTGTCTCTACAAAAGTACAAAAATTAGCTGGGCATGATGGCAGGTGCCTGTAATCCCAGCTACTTGGGAGGCTGAGGTGGAGATTACAGTGAGCTGAGATCCTGCCATTACACTCTAGCATGGGCCACAGAGCAAGAGGTCACCTAAAAAAAAAAAAAAAATCAGAAAAGCACAAGCTGCCTTATGCAAGAACTATAGTGTGATAACTATTATACAAAGTTTACATTTACTTCTCAATAATGTACATACATGTCATATTGCAAAAACTTTTAAGATTCTGTTTCTCCCAAAATGGATTGTACAAATGCTTATTTTTAGGAGACAATTTTCCCCTTCCAGCTCCATATAAAAGTAGTTTGAAATAGATATAACCTCCATTTTATTTTTTTTAAATGCAGGGTCTTACTCTGTCACCTAGACTGGAGCACAGTTGTGCGATCTCAACTCACCACAACCTCCACCTCCCAGGCTCAAGAGAGTCTCCTGCCTCCGCCTCCCGAGTAGCTGGGATTACAGGCATGCATTACCACATCTGGCTAATTTTTGTATTTTTAGTAGAGATGGGGTTTCACCATGTTGGCCAGGCTGGTCTCAAACTCCTGACCTCAAATGATCCACCTGCCTCAGCCTCCCAAAGTTCTGGGATTACAAGCATGAGCCACCACTCCTGGCCAAGAAAACCTCCATTTTTAAAAGTAAAACATTCCCTCCTTTTCTTCTTCCTCTCCTTTCTTAATCTTTCCACTCCACTTCAGCCTAACATCCTTATCATATACACTAATCTATACTCAGAGATGTAAATACCATATGTAGTTGAGATATGCAGTATTTCTACTTAACTACCAAAGCCTTTATGGAAATGGCAGTGTCCAAATAAACCTTAAAAAAATGAGAAGCTAATTTTAGTTTCAGAAGCTTTTAACCTTCTATAGGGATCTTCCAGTATGGCTATCATACTTTTGATTATAAGAATATCCATTGAGGCCGGGCGCGGTGGCTCAAGCCTGTAATCCCCGCACTTTGGGAGGCCGAGGCGGGTGGATCACGAGGTCAAGAGATCGAGACCATCCTGGTCAAAATGGCGAAACCCCGTCTCTACTAAAAACACAAAAAATTAGCTGGGCATGGTGGTGCATGCCTGTAATCCCAGCGACTCAGGAGGCGGGGGCAGGAGAATTGCCTGAACCCGGGAGGCGGAGGTTGCGGTGAGCCGAGATCGCGCCATTGCACTCCAGCCTGGGTAACAAGAGCGAAACTCCATCCCCCAAAAAAAAAAAAAAAAAAAAATATCCATTGGTACAAAATAAAGATGTAATTAGCAGCTGGGTATGAAGGGGTTGAGACAAATAGGAATTATGTGAATGTATTTTATGTATTGTATGTATCCCCCTTGTCTGGAATTCAAATATATCAAATATGAGAACCTAAGTGAGAGGAACATAATCAGCTTTGACAAAAATCATGATAAACTGACATTCCACATTGTGTTTTAAAGTTGATCTGTTGTTAGAGTCTTGGTATTTTATTTGGAAAATTATACTCCTAAGTAAGAAATATGCTTTATGTTATGTTCCTAACTTGGAGATACTCTATACTAGTCTTCTTAAGTAAATAGATTCATAAGAACTAAGTCAATCAATTATTAACCACTTGTTAAATATTTTACAATAAATATAGCTGACAGCTTTAAGAGCATAAATTCAGGTTTTTAAGACAAGTTTTTAAATAAATATAGTGTCTAATAATATATATTTTGATTTCAAAGTTATAAGTCAACAGCTCTTATAATACTGTAACAAACCTTATATTATTAGTGAAACTTTCTGTTCTTTTTTAGCAAATCCTTAGAAAAACACTCAACTTTAGGAAATCAATATATATTTAACTTCAGTTGTATTTGAACAGGTATGTAAATATTTACTAACCTCTGTTTTGTTTTTTCTTCTTACAGTATATAATAGTTACCACTGACTTGCCTTCTCAAAGCATCTCCCATTTTCCATTGTCTCTCTTTCTCTAATGATTTTCATGAACCTCTAAGACCTGTGGATTCCACCTCAGTTGAACTTTCTAGCTACGGTGAAACTGATTAATATGGAATACATAATTTTGTTTCCATGGCCAACATCTAAACATACTTTAAGGACATAATATTTTTCTTTCATTTATATTTAAATTTTCATTTACAGTATTTATTCATTCAGCAAATATCGAGGGCTTTCATTGAAATGAAAGGTCCAGTTCTTGTCCCCACAGAGCTTTTAATCAAGGGGGAGGAATTGACAATAAACTGCCAATGTCACAATAGTTTTAAAATTTACACTGTGCTAACTTCCACCATGGAAAACTATAGGAGGCCATGAGAGCATAGGCCTGGGAACCTGACTACTAAGGATTCCAGAGGAAGAGAACAACACATGCAAATGAAGGGTGAGCAAAGTTTAGCCGAATATAGAGAAGGAGAAAGCTTTGTCTGCTCACCAGAGCGGCCAGTGGAAATTGTTCATGGTAAAAACTAAATGGGCCCATTTGAGGAAGAAGGTTTCATGAATGGAAGTTATGTTCTTTTTTAATGGTAAATTGATTGAAAGGGGATTAGGAAAGAAGTTAATGAAACTTCTGCAGTAGTTCAGGCCAAGTGATGACTTGCCTAAGGGTGAGAGGAAGATGTAGATTAAGATCAAGAAATGACTTGCTAGTGTAAATTGAAAGCTATATGAACAGTCATGAATGTCAACTAGAATTACTGAGCTTAACACTTCAGTATTGAATACATTCCCTTAACAAATATACATAATCTTTTAATCAATTTTCAGAAATTGCAGAGGAGTTTTTTGGTCTAAAGTAAGAAAGATTGAAAGAATTACAGAGAAAATAATGTCACAAAATGATAATGTTAAAGATCATTTGGATGTGGCAGTGATGATATTCAACAAAAAAAGCATGTCTTTCATTGAAAGTTTATCCTTGCATATTTACTATTCAACTTAATCTCAGAATCACAGGGCCAAGAAATCATGCAATGAAAGCTATATTGACCAAGAATTCCTGTTACTTTGGTAAATTTCCTCAGGGTAATGATTGAGTTTTAATTAATATTTCAGATATCAATAACTTTTAAAAACAGAATGTTTGATAAAATATGGTAAATAATTAAAAACCATTAAATTATAACAAATTATTTACAAATTAATATACATTTTAATATGTAATAAATACATTTCATAGCAAACTCAGGAGATACGTCTCGATAAAGAAATGAATTTCAAAGTACAATGAAAATTGTTATCCATGTTCTTTCTCTAAATTGCTGCAGTTTTCTCTGATTTAATAACAATTATATACATTTGATTGGCAGGAGAACATAATAAACATAAGAAATTAATGCAGTCACTGAAGACAAATTTTAAATATAATAAAGTTGGTAAGGTATTCAAGGAAAATAGAAGATGATGCATAAACTACCAGAAGCTATTATCTTGAAACATCTAATTTTAAAAATGCCATCTGCACCCTCATTATTTTTATAAATGGCATGTTTTTGAAGGGGTATTTCATTTACATGTTTTTGCTTCACTTTCATAAGATTATTCAACAGATCAACATTTTGATTAGCTTAAAATAACTTCAATTTACTGTTATATAACAGCAAGAACAGTAAGCAACAAAATGAAAATTGAGGGAGGAAAACAAGTATATATCTGGTGCTCTTCTTATCTGCTTTCTTTTAAACAAAATACTAGAAATTTTTTTAAAAGTGACTTTCCGAAACATAAATATTTTATCTGAGCTTTCAGCAATTAGCATTCAATTTCAGACGAACCTAAAATTTAGATACTATGGTTTTGCACCATCTTTTTTTTTTCTTTTTTGTAATTCTGATAAAACCCACTGAAGGACATTGAGAGAATTATAAACATCAATTGTCAGTGACTGAAGATGAAAAATGGGCGCTGTAGTATATCACTATCGCATAATATCCAACTAGAGCTTTAAATTATAATGGTAATATCTAACACTTGTAGAACACTCACTGAGAAATGGGCACTTTATAAGGATTACATATTCATTTACACATTTAATCCTCAAAAATATCCTGTAAAATGAATACTACTATCATGTCAACATTATAGTTGAAGAAACTGAGTTTACAGTGAGGTAAAGTAATTTTCTTAAGGACCCACAGAGACTGAATGAAAGAACCCAAGCTTTCTGACTTTAAACTTTACATCCCAGGATATCAGGCCTGTCATACGATACAAGGAGGTACAATTAGCATCACGATGTGGAAGTATACAGTACATTACCTATGCATAGGAAAGTGGTGGGCCTTAAAGTCAGAGGTAAGATGAAGAGGAGCCAGTGGTGGAGACAGAGAAGCAGCAGCCAGTGAGATAGTAAATTAATAAGGCTAGTCATGAAAATCAAGAGCAGAAAGTGCTTCAACTTGGTCAAGTGGTAAATGTTGCTGATGGGTTGAGTAAGCTTAGAATACAAATCTCACTATTGTATCATGCCTACTGGACAAAGTTGGAAGCCATCTCAAGGGAAGTCTTACTAGAGTGAGAACAGAAGACTTGATGGAGTGAGTTGATTAGAAAAACAAAGTGAAAGGGAGCAGAGCAAAGGTTCAAGGATAGCAGGCCGATGTGGAGTCACAGGAGGACCAATGACAGTTTCCTCAGTAACTATTTGTGGTGACAGACCAAACCAACGTGAGAGTTTATATACAACATGTAAACAAAATACAGCAAGATGACTGGCTACAGTGAAATGAGATCAGTGTGACACATTAATCAGCAAATCAGGCACAAAAAAAGACAACAGGTTAATCAAAGAACAATGGCCTCGAGCTACAAAGCACCTGAAAAATAAAAAAGGAGAGTAATGAATCTGATGTGACCTTAAACAATAAACTACTCCTATGGAGAAAGTCCCATAGAGAAAGTAATTGAAATAATTTCCAGAAAGGCACAAGTAACACCTGGACCAAGAGTTACTTAGGAAGAAAAAATGCAAGTATAGGTAAAATTCTGACTACAGACAATTATTTGTAATGCTGTACAAGCAACGAGGCAAAACAGAATCTCAATATACAAAGAAAATAATATTTTAATAGGGAAATATTAACGTTTAAATAGTACAAAGGCATAAATAAAACATGTTGGAGAGATGTCCTTTGAACAGCTAGAACAAAGTCTGTGGTTTGTTAATTCCAGCATCTCTGGGACTGGGCATATCTGGCAGCAAAAATGTACACTAGATTGTTGTTGAATGATAAAGATATTAAAGTGATCAATCTTTGTTAATTCAATGGTGGATAAGAAGAGTAGGTGTGAAGAGAGCACAGGAGTCTTGATATTTTTATTTAATAAGGCTTGATCATTTTATTGGACTGAGGGAAAGAAGATAATGACAATAAAGGGAGGCTGATGGGAAGAGAATGGTGGAGATTCTTATATCCTCCCTATCAGGTTTATGTAGAGGAGCCTATTTATTCACAAGAAGGAAAAAGTATAAAGGAAAAAAAAAATCCCACTTTCAATCTGCCTCCTCACTCTCCTCACTCATGATTTGCCAGAGGAAGAAAACCAACATAACTGATAGTGAATTTGGGTGAAGAGCTAGAAGAGAAGCGGACGAGCACACTCTTTTCTTTCTTTCTCAAAGTCTTGAATCCAGGATTCACACTTTCTCTTCCTCCTGCATATGTAAGTTGTCTATCCCAGCAAGAAATTTACAACTTGCCAGTTTGAGTGAATGCATTCAATATTCATGAAAAATTTGCATTCAGTAGGCTCATTGTGTCCAGAGGTCTAGGCCACTGTCCATTTCGTCTTTAGAAATAATTAACAGGACATTTTTATTTCCATCTGCCTTATTTCTATGTCTACTTCTCAGTTGATTTTAAATTCAGATGAGGTATGATTAATTATCACTCTTTAATCTCTATCAGAGTCCAAGCCACAGAGAATAGTGCTTCAATTTCCACCACAAGGGATTTAGGAGACAACAGGAAATACAAAATGGCATGAACAACACAAATCATTTGGGCACTCTTTAATGTGCTGTGTAAACTATGATTGGATTACATACAAAGGGAAAACAGCTGGTTGCCTTTGCATATAGCAAATAATAAAATTGTGCTCGGGATTGTGATTAGACTTGTCCCATCATAAAAACGTAAGTGGAAGGCAGGGAGAATTAACATAGAGTGCAGTCAAGTTGGTAACACCCTGTCAAGGAAAAGAACCAAGTTAACATCAAATACCTTTAAGAAGACCAGAAAAGGAGAGGTCAGCTGATTCAATCAAATATTCAGGTACCATATAGACAGAGAAAAATGCTGAAGTCGAGAGGAACTGATAAAATGCACTTCTGTCTGGCAGCAAAAACTTGAGGAGAACACAAAATAACATTTACAAATTGAAGTGTCTGTAGCCAAAAAATAGATGAGCTTATTGTGTTTGGTAGTACTAAGCAGAGAAAAAAAGTATTTTAGTGGGAATAATGGGTGATGATAAGCCTGCAAGCCTTCCACACAGTTATTTTCTTTTTTTTTTTTTAGAGATAGGGTTTCACCATGTTCACCAGGATAGTCTCGATCTCTTGACCTCGTGATCTGCCCGCCTCAGCCTCCCAGAGTGCTGGGATTACAGGTGTGAGCTACCGTGCCTGGCCATCACATAGTTATTTTCAATATTAGATATTGTTTATGAAAAAAGTTAATGAAACAGTAAAATTAAAGTCCTATGAAAAAGTATATTTTCAAGAAATATTTGAGAGATTTTTTTTTTACTAATATGCCTTTCAAATTTCTCAAAATTATATTGACAGCTTTCATGTAGATCTTGATCATCCAGGGGAAAGGGTTTTTGTTTGTTTGTTTTTCAGGTAATATCTTTAATCAAGTCCTATTATCAGATTTCTAATTTCTTTAGTTTAAAACATGACAAGAGTGTCAAGTAGTAAAGTAGTGAGAACATATTAAAATATTGGCCATATACAATATTTCATTATACCTTCCTTTGTACGTAGAATCATTTTCATTCATCAAGATAGATTTCAAATTGAAATAAATTTTGAACACAATCGCCATTAAGTTTTTACATTGAATCTTAACCATTAAACTTCGATGAGGTGTAGTAAGATTACACAAAACAGTCTTTTCATATCTGAAAGAGACTGGACATTTCTGATGTACCATCAATATCATTTGCTTGCTTATTAAAATTTTGTTTTATTATGAAATACTTAAGAAATTTATTTTAGTCCTGCAATTTGGCAGCTAAGTGTTACACATTTCAATTCTGAGGTTAATCCATTATATTATCTTTGTCACTGATGTGCCTATTAATCAGTTTTTGCTATAAATGGAAGAAAGGCTTACAGGGTTTAATTTAATAAACATTTTATTTTAAAAGTTTTCTCTAATGGTTTTACTAAAGCAAATTATGTACCTAGGTTATAATAGCATTTCCAAGAGAAATGGAATTGGTTTCCATCTGTCCAACTTTAAGCTGAACAAATAATTTAATAATTTAAACAGTAATTGAGGGAGTTGGCAATAAAATAGTCTAGTCTTTCTATGTGAATATATTTCAATTTTATTTATAAATTTAAGCCTTGTAATTAGCTAGTTTGCAATTAAAAATTAAAATTTACTCAAAGGGAAATAGCAACTATTAAAAATAGCATAATTAAAAATTAATTATATTTCCTAAGAATAAAAATAATTATCTTGCAAAATGCATATTACTTACCCAGCTGATGAATAAGAGGAATGCAATTTGTGTGAGACCTCAAACATTTTTGTGTAATTCCTGAAAACCTATGGGATGTAGTTGAATGCATATAACCAATATTTGTTTCATAATTCTCCATGTTTAAGAAAAAAATAGCCAGGCTGAAGTGGGACGATCGCTTGAGCCCAGGAGTTCTGGGCTGTGGTGCACTATGCCAATCGGGTGTCCTCAGTAAGTTCAGCATCAATATGGTGACCTCCTGGGAGCGGGGGACCACCAGGTTGCCTAAGGAGGGATGAACCAGCCCATTTCTGAAACTGAGCAGGTCAAAACTCCCATGCTGATCAGTAGTGGGATTGTGTCTGTGAATAGCCACTGCACTCCAGCCTGGGCAACAGAGCGAGACCCCATCTCTAAAAAAAAAAAAAGAAAAAAGAAAAAAAAATACTTTTATCTCATCTAGTGAAGGCGAAAGGGGAATTATTCTGGCAATTTTTTATTCATTTACTTAAGAAATATTTAATAGTTCCTGAATATCTACCACATGTACTATTAATACCACTGTTTGCAAGCAACAGTATTCCACTTTGAACAATATTGGAAGATAGTCTGGATTTTATGAAGTGAATGAAAGGGTTCAGTAATTATGATGGAGCCAGATGTTTAACTTGATGAGTTGGCAGATAAAGCCAGCCTGCAAGGGGAAAAAAAAATGAAGAAAACATGCAGAGAAAAGTGACTAAAAGACCCCCTAGCTTTACATTTTATAGCTTCAGTTCCTGTATTCTGACTACAAAAGCTGTGAGGGAAAGGACTCATAGCCCAACCCTGATCGGGTACCCACTTGGAAAAATTAGCAGTGAGCAAGGGAACAGATAATTGAAGGAATATTATAAGAACGTGTGGCTGATGGGAGTAGTGTCCAGAAAGATAGAATGGGAAGGGGTGTACAAAGTAGCCTAGACAGCCCATCCCATTGATATCTACCATATTGGAAAAGCAAATGACAGATGTGTACAAGTAGCTAGTTGTTCCAATTAATTAAATTATGGCTAGAGACCTAGGATATAGGCTAAACCACATATAATCAACAATAGTTGACCATGTTTGCCTTTAAAACTGGCTACTTACTATATTACAACCTAATACTTCATTCAGGAAGTAATGGAAAAAGGGAAAAGTGACAGAATGAAACTGAGTAGAATATCCAAAAAGGCAAAAGTGAAGTGGGAGCAACTTGTGCTAGCTGATTGGCCACTCTATGACAGACATTATACCTTCAACAGGAGTCCTTTAAAACTGTTATGGTTTTAACACTTTGCTTTTTTTTTGGATCTTACAATGTTTAAAAGACAAAGCAACTGGACAGGTGTTAGGTTGGGTTACAATATGAAAAACTCAGCTGCTACACTCTCACCCCTATGCTGTTTCTATGTTTATACTACCTGATAGCCCATCCAAAGGCATCTGTATTTGCCATTATTACCTGCATATTCTAGGAAGGATGGATTGAAGAGATTAGCAGTCACAAAGACATTGCCGTGGCCCATGCAAGAGACGATAGGATAGTTAAAAACAGGATCCTTTCTAAAAGATGAGCCTGGGCCCATAACCAATCTTTTCTACTTTCATGTTGTTTGACCTTGATCCAGGTCATCTTTACAAATAACCTTCCTTTTGTCCAAAATCTAAATACACCACTTGTCACAAAGGCTTTCTGAAATGATTAAATGAGATAATGGTCTAATTATTACAACAGATAAATCTCTTACAATTCCTGGAACATAGTACACCCTCAGTAAATTGGTATAGATATCAATAGGTTCTAAACTGGGGGAAAGGGCATGGTAGAGCTTTACTTTCAGCAGTGTGGGCCATGTGACTGAGTTCTGATGAATAGGATGTAAGTAGAAATTATGTGTGCAACTTCAGGTCATGGCTTTAAAAGGAACTAGCTTGCTCTCCGCTGCAGGTGTCACTATGGAATCGAAAATTTAGCGAAAGGCAACTTAGGGGATGCTGGGGCAACAAAAAGTAAAGCAGCTTGGTCTTTGGATAATAAAAAGGAACATAGGCACTACACTTCTTGAACTACCTACAAGTACGGGTTTTCATGTGAAAGAAAAATGAGCCAGTCTTGTTTGTCATTGTTACTTGGTCACTGTTAAAACAGCTGAAGTGCATTCTTTACTAAGATGTACAAGGAATCTAGATGATTTTTTCTTTAGAAATTACTCCACCACTCAAATATGAGTGGAAGCATGGGAGTTCATATGCCTAATTGATTATGATGTAGCACCATCTCAGTGGTAATGGATTGTGATGGAAAAGGAAGAACTATCCATATTACTTCAATAATTTCTTGAATTATTAAAAATGTGCATTTTTTATTTAAGCAATAGAATTGTCCACTATTATATTAAAACTATTTTACTGTACTCTATTGTAATTCCCTCAGTTATATCTTGCTTATATTCTTTTACTACTGAAATAATTAGATCAGAAACAAAGTTAATAAAATTGGAATCGAAGTTAAATAGAAACATAGATATGGATGAAGCAAACTGGGGAAGATATTTTGTTCCTGCAAGAAATTGAATGCTTAAATTTGTCATCAACTTG